AGCAGAAGATGCTGATGCAGACTGAGTTTGATGAAGAAGATGAAGAGGATGTTGATAACGATGATGATAATAATAATAATAATAATAACAATGATGGTGGTGGTGACGGAAGTAACGATGAAATCATCACAAAAAATGGATACAAGATCAGGAAGAAGATGAAAAATTACGTCAAGTTTGCTGCTGATAGCAGTATCACAGGCTGCGACGAGATGTATCACTATGATACTCCGAGGAAAGTTACTAGAAGAAGTAGTGGCAGTGATAGTGAGGCTGATGAGGACATTGATGATAAATTCGTCAAGATTAACATGAAAAGACTGGTGGGTTTGCAGAATTTCTTTTAGTGTTACTGATTTTTGGTTTTCTTTTTATCTCTGTAATCGTTTTTCTTCTGTTGTTCTCAATAATTCTACTTCTAACTCCTCTACTCTTAATTTTGGGGTTCAGGATTCTATCCTTGGCCCTCTTCTGATCATACCCTATACTTCTGAACTACCTCGTGCTATTAATAATTTTCTTTCACTAGTCAACTATATGCTGATGATTTTTATATTTATATTTCTTTTCCTCCATCTAATCTCGATAATGTTCTTCATAATCTATCTCTATGTCTTTCTTCAATTATCGCTTGGTCTGACTCTACGTGTCTTAAACTCAATCCTTCTAAGTTTGAATTAATTTGTTTTAATAAATCTAAACGCTCTATTACTATTCTTCCTTATCTTACCTGATTCTAAAACTCTCGCTGTTTAGGCTTTATCTTTGATTCTAGTATGTCTCCTTCTTCTCAGATTAATAGTGTTGCTAGAAGTTCTTACTTTCATCTACGTAGAATAAAATAACTTTTGGTTTTTCTTGACAATCCTACTCTTTTCCTTCTTGTTACTTCGTTAGTCTTATCTAGGATTGGTTATTGTAACTCGCTCTACTGTGGTCTCCCTGATTCTACTATTCACTATTTTTTAAGTGAAGCTTTTCAGTTGCCTAACTTTGTTTCATGATTCAAGCGCTTGCTTTCTTGTGATTGGATCGCTAAAATTCAAAATATCTTTTAATCTCTCAGCAAGAAGACGATGAACCAATAGTGGACAGTCACTTAGCGAGGCCTAAAAATAACAAAAACCATCCAATCAAACATCAGGATGAATTATTTCTGGAAGTTGAGATGACGAAATGTCAGAGGATAGCCAATGAGCTTCTAGCTACTGAGAAGAATTATGTGGAAAGATTATTTCTATTGGACCAGGTTATTAGGCTGATTGTGATTGTTTAGATAAATTTGCCAAATTCATAGCGTTTTTTAGTTTTGTCTGTTTGATGTTTCTCTTTTTAACTTGATGAGTTTAATTCTACTTGTTGTCGTCGGTTTGAATGATTTGTGCGTGATTTATTTTTATTTAGGTGGCTCTGTATTCTCTCTCTCTCTCTCTCTCTCTCTCTCTCTCTCTCTCTCTCTTTCTCTTTCTCTGTATTCTCTCTCTCTCTTTTCACAAAAATGTGAAAATGTGCTCTCTCTTTCTCTCTCTGTTTTTCTCCTTCAGATCTTCCAGATGGAAATAATCCTAGCAAACAGCGTGAAGAAGATGATCCCTGAGGCAATCATACCGCAGATCTTCTCAAATACGAAGAGCATCTACCTGCTGCACCTCAACTTCCTACTGCCGGCACTGGAAAAGGCAATTGCTTCCAGGTTGCTGTTGATGACGACGATGATGATGTTGACGATGATGATGATGTTGACGACGATGATGATGATGACGATGATGATGATGACGACGATGATGATGACGATGATGATCTTACAAACAGACCAGAGGCTCCAAACATCGGCGAGGCGATGATGAAGATCGCGCCCTTCTTGAAAATGTACATCGAGTACGTGAGGAACTTCGACCGGGCCCGCCAAATGCTATTATACTGGGTTGATAAGTCACCCAAGTTCGCTGAACTCCTCGAAGAACTACAGGTTGTGATGGTGATGATGGCGATGATGACGATGATGATAATGATTATGATGGCGTTGTTGTTGTTGTAGTTATTGATCATCATCATCATCATTGTCATCACCATAGAAACGTCCAGAATGCGGTCTTCTAACCCTACAACACCACATGTTAGAGCCAATACAGAGAGTGCCGAGGTACGAGCTCATGCTGAAAGGTTCGTAATGATGATGATGATGATAATAATAGTAATAATAATAATAATTATTATAATAATAATAATGATGATGATAATAATAATAATGAGGATGATGATAATAATAATATTAATAAGGATGATGGCGATGTTGATAATGATGATTGGTGTGATGATGATGATAGTGATGCTTGATGACGTTGATATAGGATATGATGATGACGACGACGACGATGATGATGATGTTTTTAAGAGTGATGGTAATGATTTTTTTCCACAGATTACCTTAAACATCTTCCCCAAAATTCACCAGACCGAAAAAGCGCTGAAAGTAAAATGATGATGATGATGATGACGATGACGACGACGATGATGATGGTTGTTAATAATAATAATAATAATAATAATAATAATAATATTATTATTATTATTATTATTATTATTATTATTATTCATATTTTTTCATCACGTGATGACATCATCCTGATTTTATCTCTTTCCAGTTACTCTCAAGTTAGTGAACGAGGCGGCTCAACATTCCAACGACGCCATGAGGAAGATAGTGAGTAGTTTGTGAGGAGTGGTTGAGAGAGAAAGATGGAAAAACTCTTGTAAGAGAGGTTAAGAGAAGGAGAAAGAAACGGAGAAATTTATTTATTGGTGCATTTTTCGTGTTTGAATGCGAGTTATTTGGCCAATTTTTTAATTTTTTCTTTACCTCACTCTCTCTTTTTACTTCTCATTCTCTTTCTCTCTCTTTTCTTCAGAAACAATCACGTTTCATTTCCTGATTACACTAAATTACGCTGAATTAAATTTTTTAATTTGATCCATTCCTTCATTATATTTATCATTTCCATTGAATTAATTTTAATTTATGTGTATTATCCCTCTCTTTCTCCCTTTCTCTCTCTCTCTCTCTCTCTCTCTCTCTCTTTATCTTTCTCTTCCCCATTCAACTTCCTGAATAAATTAAATTAAATGATTTTCATTAAAGGAAAAATTTCGAAGTCTATTGGATGTGAACGAGAAGTTAGGCGAGGACATTGACCTAATCAGCCCGACTCGAGAATTAGTGAAAGAGGGAAAAGTGATGAGAGTTTCGGCGAAAGATGGCACACTTCTTGATAGATATATATTTTTGGTTTGTTGTTGCTGTTGTTGTTGTTGCTGCTGCTGCTGCTTTTGTTGTATTCTATTGCTAGTAATAGAATTTTGCTGCATTCTACTACTAGTAGTAATAATAAAAACAATAATAATAATAAAATGACCATCATCGCCATCACCATAGTTCAATGACCTCTTGCTAGTCTGCCAAGGCGGAACTCTAACTCTCAGCCAGCAGTTTAGGATAAAGTCCAAGATGAATTTGGATGATATGGAGGTTGTGATGATGAGGATGGCAATTATCATAATAATAATAATAATAATAATAATAATAATAATAAAATAATTTTTATGTCGAAATGTTCTTAACATTGAAATAAATTTGTTCTCCTCTGCTGATTTCACGAATTTGATTATATCATAGAGAATTTTTTAAGTTATTTGTACATTAATTTTTGTCTAAACTATAATATTTTCGCTCATTTTTCTGTTGTTTTATAGTTATGGGCAAGGGGTTTTGACCAGGCCTTATTTCTTAATAATAATAATTATTATTATTATTCTTATTATTATTATTATTCATAATGTCATAATGACGAGCATTGATGTTAAATTATCCATTATTTTAATCTTTTAACTATTATAATTACTGATCATTTTATATTTAATTGTAATTTCCATTTATATTTTGGCTTTTAAAGAAATAAAAGGGTTCTCATTATTATTAATATTAATATTATTATTTTTATTATTATTATTGTTGTTATTATTATTATTATCGTTATTATCATCAGATAGTCGAGAGTAATAACCTTGAAATCCCCAATACCTTTTACGTTCGCTGTCAGAAGAACTCAATCGAACTGCACACTTCGTTAGTAATTTTTTTTTGCATAATAATTACTTCGTAGTAGTAGTAGTAGTAGTAATTGTAGTGGTGGTGGTAGTAGTCGTAGTAGTAGTAGTAGTAATTGTAGTGGTGGTAGTAGTAGTAGTAGTAGTGGTAGTAGTCGTAGTGAAAGTATTTTGTTGCGAAATTTTTATCGCAAAAATTTTTTTTTTTGTTCAACAGAACTGACGAAGAAAAAGACGAATGGCAATCTGTAAGAATTATTATTAATAGTAGTAGTTGTAGTAGCGACAGCAGCAGCAGTAGCAGCAGCGGTGGTAGTCGTGGTGGTAGTAGTAGTAGTATTTTTTCATTCCTTTGCAGGCCTTCGTACGAACGATTGAAGATTATCAGAGCAAAATGAGAACGACGAAGAGGAGAATGACGATGATGCATCCGGTAATGATTGATTGAATGGATTAATAAGCGTTTATTCTTTCTTTTTATTTATTTATTTATTTACTTATTCGTTCATTAACTCACTCATTCGTTCATTTCATTCAATCAGTCGCTTGATTTTCGTTTGTTTGTACTTTCATTTGTTCATTCAACAAATTCAAGAGTTATGATCCAGTCATTCATACGTCCACTCATTCACTCACTCACTCATTCACTCATTCATTCATTCATTCATCCACTCATTCATTCATTTATTCATTCATTCACTCATTCATTCATTCACTCATTCATTAATTCATCCACTCATTCATTCATTCATTCATTCACTCATTCATTCATTCATTCACGCATTCACTCATTCATTCACTTACTCACAAACAGGTGAAAACGGATCAATTAGGCAAGCGGGCACCCACCTGGGTGAAAGATAACGAGACGAGCATGTGCATGAGATGTGCAGCGG